CCCCCCCCCCCCGCAGTACCAACCCCCAAGCCAACCAGAGCCTCGGTTCCTTATGAATATTAAAGTTCCTTCGCTCGGCAAACCTTGCCGCGACTTAAGCGTTCCGTATTACAGGTTAGGTTAGTATGTTCAAAATGGGATGCTTTAAGAATTTAATAAATTACAAGCCTGAACTCTGAACCACCCTTGATAAAAAAGGGGAAACCCCTCATCGCGGGGAGGAGAGGTGAGAAATGTTCCTGGATAATTCATAAGGCAATTGGAATTCAAATTTCATTGAAAACCGATTATCGTATAAATATCAGATTCGTTAGCCCCCCTCCCCCACCCAAATCGGGAAATAGATAATTAATATAATTAATATTTCATCCCATCCTTTCGACAAAAGCCTCTTGAAGAACCGCGTCTCGCCTTTCTATTCCAACGTTCCACTTGCACACTTACGTACCAAACGTATGTATATGACCTGGCAGTGAGTGCTCGACTCTTCGACTTTAAGAAATCAAATGGGAAATGCAATTGGTTATCGGATGCGTTTGAGAAATTGCTGAGAAACTTTCGACCGACCTCCTTGAGGTCGTACGACGTCATCTCTACGAGCCAGCAAATACCGTAAATGTAATTAAATCGCGTGTACTTGCGAAATGCATTGCGCTTGCAATTAAACAGATTTGAATTTGAAATGTGCATTGCGGGGGTCTGTAACGTTTCTGCGAATTCAATTGAGTTCTAATAATAATAATAATAACAACGCATCGCGAGTAGTCAAACGAAAGCGGAAGGTGAAAAAAACGTATCCAAAAAGATTCAATGAATTTACATGAATTTTGCAAGAAATGACGGGAGAGATGGGAGAAAATTAAACATCATCTTCAGCGCCGGTCTATAACCCACTTTCAGGCTTCTCGGTCGAGCCTCGTATTATTCTAGGATCACGATTTCGATTCCTTGCTCCCGATTCGATTCCACTTGATGTAACAAGAAAAAACGGAAATGCGCAGAGAGGCTTTGGCATATTGTAAATAAAATACGTTGTTAACGCACGGATGAATTTGGAATGTGAATCAGGAACGAATTACGACGATACAGACGCATTCGTTCTTTTGTAGATTAAACATTTTTACGAGAAACTTTCCTTTTTCGACATTCACGTGCAAAATAATCGTTACGTTCGATAAAGTTATTTATACACGTGCAAATACATGTTACGTGTATGAAAAGGGGGACGTTCAATATCCGTCGCTAATTTGGCTAATCGAATAGCATTGGGGCTGCTGTCGAATTACGCAAATAAAACGCAGGCGAAACACGAGTCACGTTCAACGCAATTAATTGGCACGAGCGAATCTTGCTGCAAACTCAATTCCGTGAATAAATCATACGAGTCATCGGCCTAGGAGATACTTTTAATTTTGAACCCGACGAATCTGTCTATACACTTGTATTATCGTAGAATATTCATTTTTTTATCTTTATGTATGTTTTACTGTAGACACTATGCGTGACGTTCACGCTGCTGGATGAGTTCACTGTGTATATATATATATATGTGTTGTGTCATGTGTTCACATACGTGCGTATGTGCTGACATGGAATGTGATAGCCACTAGAGAACGCGGTGAGAGTGCAGAGACTTGGATTGTCGCCAATTTCTACGACATCCCCTATGTCCGCGGTACTAAATTCTAGTTAAGAATATTCGATTGTTTGGCTCAAGGGACTTTGGAATATGGAAAAAATAAGTGTCTTTAGGGGGGGTTAACGGATAGCCTTTGGGTTTGAATGACGTAAAAAAATTTTGATCTGAATTTGAATATATTCTATGAAAATTCTTTAGATCAGCTTCTATCTTCATCCGTCAAACGTTAACGTGATAACCGGTAACTTGAAAAATGTCATGTCGCGCCTTTAGCAGCTACCTTCAACTGGTTGGAGGCAAGTCTAACGGGCTTTGGCTGGTTGGATTACGGTGAGTGACTCGAGAAAAAGTCATTGAAATGGATGAATTTATGATATTAATCGACTTGATGAATCTAGCTGTTGACAGCTGGAAATACGATTGTTACTTATTTTTCTTTAGATATAACCTCTTTCGGTGGTGCTCACTTAATACGTATTTACGTCGAATGCTGGGATTTCGTGGATTCTAATTGGATGAAGTAATGACTTCCGTAAACAAGTGTTGCACGGTTTTAGGGGAATTCGTGTAGAATCATTGTGATGATTGCATTGAATGAGGAATTTTGACTAATCCCGGATTGCGTATCAATATAGCGTCCGTATGTACGTACATGGAATGTGGCTAGAGTTATCGTGCAAGAGAACAGGTGGGTGTTTTTATGGTACACGAAGAGTATCGAAGAAAGTATACGGTTTGAAGTGATAATACAGAAATAAGAGAGGGATAAGTCATTCGAGTATTCGTTATGATTCTTTTTCGAGTAACCGTGACACGTCGAGACGCAATTTAATGGACTGTCAACGAGTACATGTGGATTGCAAGTTTAACTGGAGAAAATCTCCAGGAGAAATCAGCCTGACGATTTTCTCGTGTTTGTACGAGGGACTTTGTAGTTACTTGCTTGGTTGGATACATATGAGAATATTATTTGTTTGGATTCGAATCAAAGAAGCTTGTCACTCACCGAAAGTCTTGTTTCCCCCGATGAAGAAGAAACGGATGGCAGGCGGCTGTAATCCTTCCGAGAGGAGGAACTTAACCAAAAAAGATATTACGTATCCACGTGTTGCTCAATTAATTTACTGTACACTTAACACACACTGAACTCGCGATTTGCGCACGGTGGATGTCACTCACTCGCGCGATTAATTTTTCTGGAATTTCGTCGCGTTCGTGTTTTCTCAAGAAACTGTACGGCCACTCATATTGCTGATCTACGGCGAATTACCAGCTTCCCTCTCTGGCGCGAGCCGATGGGCGTGGTTTAGCTACGGAAATTGACGAAGGCTCACGATTCCTTACGAACGCCGGCTGCGTTTACTCAAGCGCGGGAAGACCGTTTCACAGCTGTATATGCACATGATATGACTGGGCGGCTATTTAGAACAATTCTATTCTGTACATTCCACTAGATTGATTCATTAATAAATTTACATAATACCTTAGTATTCTGCAAGCACCGTATGTAACTTGTAAAATATGTAAAGTCCATAATAAATTTTATAACATATCTTTCTGTTTCGTTTTGACGTTTCAATTATTGGTTAGCGCGCCGTTTTACGAAAGATAATAAAATACCTTCTGAGTCGTACGAATTTCACAGATGTTAATATTCTTAGATAATGTGACGTGAAAGTTTTATCTTTTCAACTTTTTGATATACCTTAAATTGTTATTTTCAAAGATTTTCTTCAATACGAACCTACAGCGTGACTATCCGGTAAAGGATTGCTGACTGCTTAAATGCACTGCATAGATGTGAAGTTCGGTTGCCGACGTGTGTAAAACAGGGTGCCTGCACTCTGTCATTTTGTTGGATGGTGCCTTCATTCTGAGGAATAATCAAATAAATCAATCAGTATGGACATTCATATTATGCCAAATAAGGTAAATGATGTGTATAGATTATTTCACCTTTAGTAGACACCCTTATTAGAAACATTTTTGAGAAAGCTCAGAGTAGAAGAATAACCTCCAAGGAGATATGCAACATCCAAAGAGCAGAATGCATTTTTGCTCACTTGTTACTGAAATAACATTCGGGGTCAATAATTGTAAATGAAAAATTTATATGAAATAATATATATTTTCAATAATTTATATATTGTGCGTATAAGAATTAAGATTCCATTTTTCAGAGTGAAGGAGAATTAACACCAGAGGAAAGATGGAGGTATATTTGCAAGTTCTTATAATATTCATGTTACTTTATATAAATCTGATAAATAAAAGGTATTCTTCTGTACATCTTTCAGATTGGAACACATAAAGATGCATGAGCAACATCTAGGCCACGAGTCGATGCATGCTGAAATGTTGCTCATATTATTGGCAACATTGATTATTGCTCAGATTGTTTTAGTAAAATGGAAGATAAAGCACTATAAATCTTACCAGGTAAAATTAATATAATCAATCATACGTAACATGAGTATACCTTAGTTAAAATTCTGTTTCAGTTTGTAACATTAATAGCGTTATGGATAATTCCATTAGGTATATCATCCAAAAACCGTTGGTGGCGATTTATATTCCTTTGGCTATTATTTTCGTGTATAACAGGATTAGTAGTGCGAAAAGCCTTACAACATCCAATAAAAGGCACAACACCAAGGTATTAAACTAATTTTTAATTAACACATTTAAAGGCTAAGACAAAATCTCACGTCTCATATATCTCCAACAGATTAGTTTACAAATGGTTCTATCTTATTTACATTCTGAGCTACATACTGGGCATTATTGGTTATTGCATAATGATAGCTACACTCTTTGGCCTAAATCTCGTGTTCGACGTAACGTCCCACGTATGGATGGATTGTGGTATATTGTTCCTATTTTATGGACTCTACTTTGGCGTCTTGGGTCGTGACGTCGCTGAGATATGTGCCGACAAAATGGCATCCCATATTGGGGTAAGGAATCCTATTACAGCTTTGCTACTGGATCATGCGAGACCGTTGTCTATCATCAGTTCCTGTTGGATATTTCTAGTACTATACACCAGATAGCATGCCAACCAGGACGTTGGATCCAAGTGTATGCGCGGTGTGCGGCAACAAGCTCCTAGTCTCTGAACATGAGGAAGGCGTTATCGAGAACACGTACAAGCTTAGCTGCGAGCACGTCTTTCACGAATTTTGTATCAGAGGCTGGTGTATCGTAGGCAAGAAGCAGACGTGCCCGTACTGCAAGGAGAAAGTCGACCTCAAGAAAATGTTCCGCAATCCGTATCCTTTTTCTCATTGTCAACCGAAAAATATTTTATTTTAAGATTCTGATACTTCTTTATCGCCTTAACTAATTGATTTTTAAAGATGGGAGCGGCCGCACGTTCTTTACGGACACGTGCTAGATTGGTTAAGATGGTTGGTCGCATGGCAGCCATTGATACTGCTTCTAGTTCAGGGTATCAATTGGGCCCTAGGCCTCGAGTAAGTATTATAGAGGGTATAGGTTCGCGACAAACACAACTAAAGTTAGCCTGTCCATTTGATCTCTATGGTAGAATCATCTTCAGGTGGTACGTTTGTCGTGAATAACCCTGTATAATATTGCCTTCATTGAATATAAGAAGCAGAAGCGTAGAGTACACTGCGCCATAATTGCATCAGGAATGGTTCCCTGTTTACCTGAACACTGTTATTTGTGTATCTTTATACATACAAATATTAGCGACATTTTTTGTCGTTCCTAATGGAACTTTCCAAGTGAGAACTAACTGAGAATATCTCAGATTTGACTTCATCGCGGGGACATTAATGTGTTATCCAGTTTTTGTGATAATTATTGTTCCCTTATTATTTTATCCTTGCCACTCTTTGGTACCTAGTGCATCGTTACTTTCCACTTAAACAATTTTGTCTTATTTAATATCTTCCTATCTAGGTTTATAAATAATGATCGCATCCACCAATTGACTATTGTTTGTACGTTAATCTTTGACAATTGTATTTGGAAATGGTTTTATAGGTATAAAACTATGCACTGGCACCATTGATTATGATATATGTTACAGGTATGTTGCTGTACATATGTCATTACTTTGTTTTTCGTTTTTGTTTTGTTGACTTAACGGTCCAGTGGTGCGAGTGGTAGCTAATTAAAATATGTTTGATCGTGAATAATTTATTATATTCAATCGATCTCTCAGATGTATATGCAATCATCGATATTATCCGTTCCTATGGATACCACTTATTATAATATGAACATTTTACTTAGATTTCTCACATAAGGACAACAAAAAATTTAATGCCAGCTCCAAGCGCTTAAACAGATCAGGAAATGACAGCCAGTAGGTCTCCTGTAGTATTTAAAATAACAAAGTAAGAGAAGTTACCCTAGAGACTCTTCCCCTGGAGAGGGGTACGTATTACGAAGATTTTTGCGAATGAAGAAATCAAGTACTCAATCCAGTGTAAGTCGGAGGAGTTTCCACGGGAAAGTCATGTAAATAGAAATTATGAAGCAGAAAAAACGAATGACTAGTAATTTGTATTAAAAGAGAAGCTATTGTCTATACCAACGATTTCGTAATGAATTGTAAAAAAGGAATAAACCATTACGCAGTACCTGCAATCTGTCGTTTCATGCTCATGTATATTCGTCCCATTTTTTTCTTGCATTCCTTTATGAAATGTACCACGTATGATATTCAAATGAAGACAAGAACCATCACCATGACATAACATAACCTTCACATTTGCACAAATTCTTTATTCAATTCGAATTATTCATTCTAAATACATAGATACCCGGCACTTAACTTCTCAATCTTGTGTATAACAAATTCACATACCTGTGTGGCTGAGTCACGTTTGTTGCTTCTTCAAAATGAACTCTTCAATTTCCAGAGCCTGAGAAACGTTTGAGCATCCCGATACGAATCACCCAGAATGGGACTGTGACGACTGAATAATTACCAAACCGAGTGCTAACAAACGAGGGACTACAGTAAATATAAATAGACAGAGAGTGATACACAGGAATCTCAGGAAGATATCGGAGCCCACGTTTTCCAAGCAGAAGTGATGGGATTAACGAGAACAGGATGTATTTAATTGTCAGAGGTATTAATAATAAATGATTTATCCATCGAAATGGGCACTTGGTAGGAACGACAACGTTTGGTGCTTGCTAAAAGATTTCTTTTAATGAACCTCCTCGTTAAAAAAACAACTTTCATCACATCTCGTTTCTTCTCTTTGTATAGATACTCGTATTATACATTCGAATATGTCGTTAAAGTTCTTGGGACTCGAGGCGCATGCGCGTAATTATGAAAAATCTCATTTAACAAACATTTTAGCACAGTTTTATAATAAAATATAAAATACTATTCATTCGTAATACACATAAAATTCCTCCTGGCTACTTCAACGACATTTTCAATATATTTCGCGAGCGCAACTGATGATCTCGACTTTACATATATGATATATAGTTGTCATGGACGATGATTACGTAGACGTCACGATACAATGGAAATTTTTTTTTTGGGATGGGTCAGGGGTCACAGACATTATCACACACGAACACACGAGGGGGGAAGTTTTATAGATATATTTATTGAGTACTTAGCGTGTAAGAGTATAGAATATGTACCTTACGCATTAAATATTACATGGTAATATAGTTAATGTACTTGTAAAATAAAACCTCGTGTTTTTAAAGAGTATTTACATAATAAGAAGTATGTACACGTTTAAATTAGAAAAGAGACCAAACGAAAGAGAAACAATAATTAAACAATTCATACAGCGCGCGGACGCGCGGGCTCAGCGCTCGTTTACGGTATTAACTGCGGCGCATGCGCAGAGCCCGCTCATCGCGCATACCTTACAAAGAGGGAGCGTGGGTTTCATTCTGGATTTAATGTTGAGGGACGCTTAATTTCACGTGAGACAGTGGGACATGGGACAAGAAAAGTCAGAGTGACATTTCTGTAGTGCTTCTTTCTCTTTTCCTCAAACGGACCATCCGTTTTATGAAAGTATAAAGGAGATTTCTAAGTATTTTGCAGTTTCTAGGTAGGATTATGGCAGGGCTGTCATTTCGATTAACAGGTATGAAATGTTGCTACTGCTACGGATAATGTTAGGTACCCTAAACCGACATTTATATCTTCACGTCATTACTATCATCACCATCATCATAATCATCATCATTATCAGTATGATCGTACCTGCTTTATCCCATATCATTAAGCACTCCACTATCGTTCTACATCGAAACATATACCACGTTATTATCAGTTTCACCATTTTCTACGTTTCTCTCTCTCTCTCTCTCTCTCTCTCTCTCTCTGTTTTTAATTTCCGACTGTCCACAACATTAACGGAGTAAAATATAATCGCTCGTATATGTCTATATGTACAAAACTCTCTTTCTTTTGAGACGCGCCAATCTGTTTTTAATTTCCGACTGTTAAGCACTCCACTATCGTTCTACATCGAAACATATACCACGTTATTATCAGTTTCACCATTTTCTACGTTTCTCTCTCTCTCTCTCTCTCTCTCTCTCTCTCTGTTTTTAATTTCCGACTGTCCACAACATTAACGGAGTAAAATATAATCGCTCGTATATGTCTATATGTACAAAACTCTCTTTCTTTTGAGACGCGCCAATTTTGCGCGGCGGAACTACCGTGCGTAGAACTGACACTTACGTCATTGCGCATTATTACGAGTGAGTCATAGATTTTCAATTTTTATTTAACCATCTTCATACTCCATCTCTTTCTCCTCTCCTCTCTCCGTCTTACCCTCCTTTTCTCCTTTCCTTAACTTTTTTTAGCGACTTTTCGACCAGTTCATTTTCATCGACGATTAACTATCCTTTACACAATTAAATATATTAATTTATAGTTACTCTCCCTGGCTATCTTTTGCGCATGCTTATCACACCCACTCTATCATTTACTTTCATGTTACATTCGTTCTCTCCCTCTCATGCAAATATCACGCATATAATACATTCTCTCTTTCGCTACACGTAGGACACATTCTCGCATGCTTAGGACATACACGATAGTTACGAAGTATTGCTTTTCATTGTCGCGTCTTTTGCAACCGATTTCGCGCGTTACCCACTTATACTTGTCTCTCGATCGATATCGATCTTTTCTCTTCGTGCTCTGGAGAACGTAAAAGAAAAATCGGGCAAAAAGGAGGACGAAGAGAGAGAGAGAGCACGAGAGGAAGGATCGAAAAGGAGATGACGGAAATAGGAGAGGCACGAATAGAGAGTCAGGCTCTTAGCCAGTGAGACAGTCAGTGGGGCGAGTAGCACGAAACGGAGAGAGCAGGAGAAAAAAATCTTCAACAACAAATCGCGCGCAGAGAACAAAATTTCAAAATCTCATTAAGCGTAATTCAATCCACTCGAAATTATAAGGACAACCCGATCAGTCCAATTACTCTTTCGGATATTATTCGCGGGCTCTGCTTTTGCTTTGCTATGCACGAAAGATACGCGGGGCAAGCACGAAGAGTTCAATGGAATTTTTACATCTTTCTTTCTTGTTATTCCTTTTTGTTTTTTTTTTTCACTACATTCTTACGAAATCAGCTCAATCTCCTTATAACCTCTTTACAGTAAACTAGTAAACGTACGTGGCGGTTCATGATTATGTATGCTTCTCTTTTCTAGTTCCCTACGTCTTTACAGCTAGAAGGAGGGACGAGTGCAGTGGGGTGGGGCTGAAAGGGTCAAAGGGCACGTGTCATGCTTTGCTGTATGAGCTCCACTGTTCTTGACTTTCCATGGGATATATTTTGATAACGTCAACTGATTAATTTTTTTTACGAGAACCAGTAGAGGGGGAAGGGAGGAATTTCGCAAATTTTTAAGAAAAAGATCTTTCTATCCTTATACTCTTCTTTTTCCCATTCTTGCTTCCCCAATCAAACAATTACTTAAATGGTATCTCGTTTGGACTTATTCATTTCGAATCATATACTTGCACGCGATTATTTCCTTTCTCTCGCTCTCTCATTCTCTCTCTCTCTCTCTCTCTCTCTCTCTCCCTCTCTCTCAGCTACAACTAAAAGAAAGATCTCGGCACGCCACAAGGTGTTTACAGTGTCTTCGCATTTTACCTTCTTCTTTTCTTTACCTAGGACATTATTTACAGGTCTTCTCTGCCTCCCCGTATTTCGCCACTATAGTCTACCGCGAATCTCGTATGGGCTCACGTAGCGTATCTAAGAAACGACGATAACCGCAATCCTACACGTGAACCGGATGTTCACAGTTTCCATATTGGAATTACATAACGACTCCATTTTATTTACCACGAGTAAGTCTTACGTCCTAGTGACAAGCGTACGACGATTTTCTCATAGGTAGATATAGGCCCTGGACATTGTCCTGTGCAATCTTTAGTTAATCCAGTAACTTCCGGTCGAGGACTTCCGGATCACGTGGTGGCTTCACCGAGAGTAGCTTCGTTATTCGTACGTTACAATTTTTTCTTTTCTCTCCCCTACCAGCTCCCTACTACGATATTCGGTGTTTCCGTGTGGTGCTGTGTGTTTGTGTTTCTGTTCCTTTTTTTAATATTGTGTATATATACTATATACGTGTATACATATAAAAAAGCATTTTATCGACAGTTCCAATTGAATATACTACGTATAAGTAGTGTACAGTCAATCGTTAATATCTACATTTACCATTAATAAGATTAGCCGTATTTACAACACTTTAATTAAACGTACGCCATTGTTAAAAATATCTGCTGTGTTATTCTCTTATTACGCGTCATCTTATACGTTATGCGAACTAGGTTAACGCCTGAGTGACGTCAGTAAAGTCGAGTGGACAAAATGCGGATGAGGACGTCGATGACGACGATGTTTGGAGCGGAAGTGAAGTCCGAACGTCGTCATCGTCATCATCGTCGTCATCGTCGGATTGCCACGCGTGCGTGTGTGTGTGTGTGGGTGTGTGTCTATCTTATGCTTTTTTTCTCTTGGACGAACGTTTCGACGAACTCATCTTCCTTGTCGCGTATTAATTATTCACATGCCTTTCCGGCATTCCGGCCTCTTTAATCTACTTTTGAAATTTCTCGCTGCGCAGTCCTCGAATCGATTTGGATTTAATGGTCAAACTCGAATTTTCGAAACGTCGCAATTTTCGCGCTCTCTTTCGAATGTGGCTATGTATTTATATCGCGTGTATGTACGTATAGGTATGTATTATTTTTTTCGTTATGTATGTGTACATGTCGTAGACCCTGTTATGCTAACGATTCGACGGCTTCAAACTGAGAAGCTCCCATTGACTCATGGCTGCTTCTTCTTCTTCTTCTTCTTCTTCCTTTTCTTTAATGGGAGACCAGCGCATGCGCACGAACCATATTCTGTCTTCTTCGCCGCTTAATTAGTATAAAGGAGCTTAATGCAAAAAGCTTACACTCCGAAGTATATTTCGAATCTCCCTTTCCTCGACTTTCGCTCATTCACTAATATACTCCCATCGCAAAACACCCTCTATAAAATAATCAGCTTTTTCGTAACAAGCGTTAAAACTTCCGCATTCCGTAAATACGCGACTAGCTTAATTTTGACACTTCACAGATCAACCTGCGGGCACGTGCGCCGTTAACGCTCGCAGAACCGACGGTAGCGGCGACGACGACGACGACGACAACGACAATTAACGTTAATCGAGTTGCGTTCGTACGCGACGTACGAACAGCGCGCAAATGGGGATTGAAGATTATGGTTTAATGGTAATATCAGGGAGTTGGAGGAAGGATGGGATCCAATAGGAAATTTTACTCGTAACGTATTAGTATGGCACCAACGACTTCGATACGTAGAAAATTAACGTATGATACACGGTGAGAGAATTATTCTCCTCTCGTTATAATATCCACGACTGAGAAAAAATATTGGGAGTTTCTTTCTCTACGGAGAACGACTGCGACAGACCGTTTTATCAAGAGTCAGCCTTTAAGTAACCATTTTCGTTTTCATTCCATCGCGCGGACTCGTGGAATCGTCCGTTTGCGAAGTCCCTTCGATCGCAACCCTTTTTTATTTCATTTCTCCCAAAAAGAGAAAACACTCTCGTCGCGCACTCCTATTCGAAAACACATTTTTCTTCTTCTTCCTTTTCTTCTCATTTGTGACGCACGTCTTCTCGAGCACCCTCCCAGCCGGTCCTCGGATTCTCTTCCTCTTGCTCTCATGCACCCCGGGATGCACGTCCAGGTTAGATCTCGTCGAATCACGAATCGTGCCTGTGAATCCTGTTGCGCCTGGTGCCGCTCTTCCGTCTCTTGCGCTTGCTGTCGCGTGTGAAGGCCACGTTGCCAGGGTCGTCGGCCAGTTGGGGATACCTGTGCACGCTGTGGATGTCGACGCCCTCGTAGCCGTCGACCTTGCCGTGGCTGATGAGCTCATCCTTCTCTTCCTTGGACCAATCGCCGCGTCCTTGGAAACCAGCCATTACCAGCTGCTTCTCAATTTCCCAGGCTCTCTCGACAGCGCGCTTGTGAGCGTGCTTCAATATCCTGTGACGCTCCTGCTCGGGATCGGCGCCATACTTTATCACCACCGAAGCATCCGGGTTGTGAAGTCTGAGCTCCTTCCACGTGCCGGATCCGTGCTCGGTCGTCTCGTGGGTTGACACGTTGAACATGACACCGAGACGACGAAGATCGTCCATGTCGTCTCTGATCTTGAGGGCGTTGTCCTTGACGAAGTAGAAGACGTCCTGGTCGTGGACGCTGAAGTGAAGTGGCAGGAAGAATGAATTGTTGAAGACCGAAGTGACCACGTCCTGGACGACACTGTTGACGCCATCCACCACGCTGACCAAGGCACGACCTCCGACCCTTGACACCAGGATACCCTCGCCAAAGACTGCTCTCCGATGAGCTACTCTGGGCAGTAAGTTTCGCGTCTTTGGTTCCAGCTTCAGCAATGGCTTCGGCACGAATCCCAGATCGGAGAACTTCTCGTGGACGCGGTTGACGATGCACTGAAGTCCCGACATCACGCCAAACTCTGGCGTCAGCTGCGGGGAGGTTATGGTGGCGCTTGGCTGGTACACCACTTCCTTGGTGTACTCTGATCCCAGCATAGAAGATATGTCGTAGCCGTACAGTTTGAGCCAGCTGGCAAGATCAGTCATGTACTCCACGTTCTGCTTCAGATTTATGGGATCGTTGTTCCGGAAGCGGTAGATGAAGATGTCCGTAGGTGTCGTCAGTTCGTTGGCCATTTGTTCCCAGGCCGGTGTCATCCACTGGCCGACGGTAGGATCGTAGAGACGTTTGTTCAGGTACACGAGTTTTGTGTTAGGATCGAACAATCCTCCGTGGAAGTCGATCGGCAGGTAGAAGTCGGGATTGGTGTCCTTGATGATCTTTCCAAACGGCGTCCTGCGCATTTCCTTTATCAGATTACCATTGGTATCGAACAATGCCAACGGCGAGCCGTTCTGGTCGGTCGCCACGTAGAATCTTTGTTCGGAAGTCTCGACGGTCATCAGGAAGTTCCTGGCGTCGTAGAGGAAGCGGAACGTCTTTGACGACTTCGGGAAGTGTACATGAGTTATTAGATCAGGCGTCTTTGGATTGGCATAAAAGAATTGCGTTATGTTCTCCCTGTCGTCATTCCACGCGATGAGTCTTCCTCTGTCGTCATAGAAGTACCAAATTTGGAACTTTTGATGCTCCGACGCATGGATCAGCTGTCCTCTCGAATTATATCTGTACTTGTGCTCACCGCGAATGACAACGAACCCACGACCGTCGTAAGAATTGAATTCGACGTCACCGTACTGGACGACCCTGTCGCCGCTGTCGTAGCCAAGAGTTATCTTCTCGTTGTGCTCCGTCACGCCGATTATGTTGCCGTTCTCGTCGTACGCGTATTGCCAGTTATTGTCGGTATCGGCCACCTCCAGGACATGTCCGTCAGCATTGTAGGTGATCTTGTCGATGCGCGAGTATTCCTTCTTCTCGGAAGATTCCTTCCCAATCGTCAGCTTCCTCATGTTTATCCGATTTCGATTGTCATACTCCAATTCCATTCTGAAGACATCGACCGACCTGATGTTCATCAGAACAGCCTTCACTCGGCCGTGATCGTCATATTCCGTCACGGTGAAGAACTGCTTGCTACTGTCTTGCATCACTGATCTATTGAAGGAGTTTCTATAGATCCTCAGATCGCCCACACCTTCCAGGACTCCAAGATTCTGATTGTACTTCAGTCGAAGCTGAGGCAGCTGTTTCCCATTTATGTCAACCTCGATGCCGGATATTCTTGCGTTTCCGTCATACTGGAATCTATAATGAGCATTGTCCATACCACTCTTGCTGCTGAATTTGATCTTCTCATCCTTCACAATGCCAGCGTGGTACTTGTACTCGATCCTGATCTCAAAGTTGGGCTCGTTGATGTCAATGCTGCGAACCAAACTGGTCGTCTCTTGGTAAGTGTAGTGGATCGACGAGAGGCCTGAAGAGAAAGAGAACGTGAAATCAATAGAAATGTGTTAAAAGTCATAGAAAAAGAAGCTATGGGCTAAAATACTTACCAGCCAGGGTCGTTTCCAATTTTCCAGTGTGATCGTACACATAGGCGACTTTGCCACTTTGATGAGGATAGACCTTAGCGAGTATCTGGCCGTCGTCATTGTACAGGATCTCATAGGGGTGCCTGTTCATCGGCGAATAGTACTGATACTTGTAGAAGCCAAGCGAAGTCTGAAGCGAGAAGGCGTGTATGTGTCCTCTGGGAGTAGTCAGCGACTGAAGTGCACCGGCTTCGTCATATTGCAGAAGGTAGTCGCTGCCTCTGGGAGTGGTGACCTTCAGTGGTAAGCTGCTGAACATGTCCTTGAAGGCATAGACCATCGAGGTGTCGTCACTGTATTTGATCTCGAAGAGTCTGCCAGCCCGGTCGAACCCATAGGTCTCGCTAATGTCTCCCCAGGTCCAGCTGGTGAGTCTGCTAAATCTGTCGTATTCGAGATCGACCCCGGCGAAGATGCCATTCCTAGGACCCCACTTGACGGGTCTTGCTGTTCTGTCATATGTCACGTTCAGTAATTCTGCTCGATCGTCCATGAAGACTGCAACAGTGTTGGTCTCCCGGTCGTATTCCAAGGATAGAAGGACTTCGCCATTGACTCTAAGCTTCCGGCCGACCTGAGCCACTGCTTTGGAGTTTCCGCGATTCTTGTTGCCCTGGACCTTGCGCAGGAAGTAGCGCCACTCGAAGCGATTCGCCAGATCACCAGCGATTTCCGTCCTCTGTTTCGCCGGAACCGGGTAGCTCTCACCCAGGAGTGGCTCGATTTCAGCCAGGATGGAGTAAGGCATCGTATCGGTACTGATGGTGTGGGACCAGGGTGTCACTCTACCAACACTGCCATCCCCGAGGACGATGGTTCTCTGCTCGGCTTCACCTATCTTGGTCACCACTGATGATCCTTTGATCAGCATCGACACCGGCTTTCTGTTGTTCTGCCCGACTTTGACAGTAGCACCTTTGACGCTTAGGTCAAACGTGAGACTGATAACTTTTCCAGTGGGCGTCACAGCTGTTGTCAGTCTGCCGAATTCGTCGTAATTGTAAACGTAGCTTCTCCCGGTGCTGTCTAATTTGGTCTTGAGCAATCCTGTGGGGCCGTGATAGTCAAAGGTCACGTTGTAATTATCCGGAGTGCTCAGCTCGTGTAGCATCTTCATCCTGGACATGCGTAGCCGGCACTTCTGACCTTTGGTATTCTCAATTGAGTTCACCTGACTGGAATAGTCGCGCAGTAGGAAGACCTTATTTCCAGCAGCATCCGTCACAGTACTGAGTTTGCCATTGCTGGTGTTGACGTTGTAGGCAAACAGATAGTTGGTCTCACCGGTCAGGATATTCTTGGTAGCAATGTGCTGACCGAATCTATTGAAGACGTAGATCTCTTGGGTATCCGGCGAATAGATCTCATACTCCCTGGCACCGCTCGCATCCGGTATACTAGCCATTACAGAACGTATCCTATAATTGGCTTGATCACCAATATGGACGATCCCATCCGGAGACACGGCCACGGCCGATATGGTATTGAACTTTGAGCTGGATGCCAAATAGTGATCGGCTTCGAAACAGTCACAGCCGCGTTCCAAGCAATTGCACTTGGACTCTGCACCTGCGTACGGTGATATCTTGCCGTCGGTGCCGATCACCCTGACTCTGTTGATCCTCTGGGAATCACTCTCGGCGATGTAAAGATCACCGGATGGTCCAAAGGCGATGCTCTGTGGCATTACGAGAGTAGCGTGCGTCGCCAGTTCCGTGTCAAACGTAGAGGATGGTGAAGCGCAGTGAAGTGGACGTCCAGCGACGACCTTGACCCGGCCATCAGGAGCTAGTTGAAGAACCATATGATCGTCGATCATGTGAAGGGAGTTATCCAATGGATTGATTGCTAATTCCGTTGGCCATCGAAGATGTACTTCCTCCACGTTCAGGGTCCCCTCGCACGGTATTGGCTTCCAGTGAGACTTGTGCATATGATTTCCAATGACCGTTGTGATGATACCATCCCGGTCCACCATGCGGATGTTGGTACCGTCCGCGAAGTAGAGAACGTTGTCAGCGGAGACAGCGACGCCTTTGGGATAGGCTAACTTGGCATCGCGAGCCAAAGCCCCATCACCGCAATGAGCCTCGTCTCCAGGAAGACAACGTTCGCCGGATCCTACGACCGTTTCCCAATTGTGGTCAGGATCGGTGTAGTCGTTAGTGTCACGGACGCGAATGATCTGATGGGATTCTGGGTCAGAGATGTACAACGCTCCATCCAGAGGACTCAGCGCTATATGATATCTGTAGGATACTCTGGTAGCACTGCAACAAATGAATATAAAGTGTGTTAATTAACAGAATAATAATTAATTTCTCAGACAACTATCAATATGATCTAAGGTCGGTGGTACTCACTTGAGCCGTACGACAGTGCTGACAGTACCATCCACCAAGATCTTCCGGACGAGATTGAAGTCACCAACAAAGATAGAACCATCTGGTGCAGTAGCCAGGGCAACCGGTGCCAAAAGTCTTTGCTTAGAAGCCTGACCATCGCAATCGTAACAATCCAGAGGTCTCTGATGTCCATCGCCCATGGTGGTAAGGATCACCCTGGGTTTGTGTTTTAGATAAATATTTGATCCATCTCCCTTCTGGAGGATACCTTCGTGAAAATTGTATCTGTGATGAATATCAAGGTTCCAGCCACCAACTTCAGATATGGACATATCGTGTCCACTGAGCTTAGTCGTCTGAACGTCCCAGATGATGTCCTTGCAGTCACTGTACTCATAGCCGACCTTGACCATGGCAGTGGTAACGCCGTACACGCGTTGTCTGTAGACGTTGAGTCTGTTCCAAGCATACGTGAACTTGATAACAGGATCCGCTTCGAAGGTCTTCTCGAAGAGGATGCCCTCGATGGTGATCCGCAGATGAATGAGATTCAGACTAGCTGGTATCACTTCGGGTGTAAGCTGCAGCTGAATAGTCGACAAGTATCCAGCAGCCCTGGAGCTGTGATAGACGAGATTCAATCCTGTTCCCGGTATCTGAAGACTCTCCTGGATGACCTGTGACTCCGCCAGGATGGCGCTCTTATCCGGGCATGCACCCTGGAATCCATGCTTCCAAGTGGCCAGGACGACGGGCTTCATCAGGTCGTAGTCGTGGGCCGCACACGCATGTGGCACATGAGTCAATGGTTTCTCGTCACTGGTACTCATTACGATCTTGTCTATAATCACGACCTGGAGCAAACAAAAATCAATTAATAACTTTTCCAATCGATCAAACAATCTGTCGGTCTAGTCCCAAAGCAGAATCATACCTCGTTCCAAGGTACAAAGACGATGTGACCCTGCGGCTTGAACGGTGACCTTCCAAATTGAAGTGTGACGGCACCACCCCCGTTAACCAGTAGGTCAAACCAGCCGTCATCCCTGGTCAGGGTGAAACCCTCTAAGGGCGTGCTGGTACTAACTCGAACCCCCATAAGACCGGTTCCAAGGGATGTAACTACCCTTCCGCGAACCACAGCGGAACGACTGTTCAGGAAAGCAATGTATTAGATTCGAAGGAACATGTTCATCAGAGAATATGATTCTAGTACGAGCTGAACTACTCTGCAATTGTGCTTCCTCATATACAATTTATAATGCTATAATCGTTTAGAAGCAAATATAAAATTCTAGAACAATTCAAAATCCAATCAAATCTACGAGTATAATCGCATGTGTGGAACACAACACGTTTGCCAGAATTTTCGCGAGAGCATCAATAAGCCGCTTTAAGCACTCGACCAATAACAAACAATTTATATTGATAAGTTTAATAATGATTTATAATCGTCAACCGCTGATTAATCGTAGACGCTCGTTCGCGTGACATCGGCGCGGATCGATAGTCACGATCGACTCTCTGACACTTTGAAGTATTACAGTTTCCTTTTTTTTTTTTTTTTAATTAACTGTCAGTGGACAACACGCACGAATAACACAAAGTCGTAAGCGTAACGTAAAAGGCACGAAACACAATGTAGGAATGTTAAGGTAACTGAACCATGCAACGAGTAGTGTAGAACAATGAGGCACAACGGGACGTGATTTTCTTTGCCAGGGTGCAATGTAAAACTTTAAGGGATAAATGTGAAGAGGAATGAAACGTATATGTATAATATATAAATCTGTATCTATTTATATATGTATACATATCTCAGGCAGTGGGAATGGCCTTTAAAGTGTTCCTGGCGCCGGCGTCAGAGTAGGCGATTATTATATAGGTACAATGGCACAGTAGCAAACACACGCTATAGACATATATTGTATACAGTATATGCATATGGACAGAGAAGAAGAAGAGATAGGAGAGAGTACATATATAAACGTTATATGCTGACATATGATAGATATGCACGTTGGCCTGGCTGTATACGTATGTATATACATAATATGCGAATGTACGTATATACGGGTATACGAAAATAAAGGAAAATCCAAAAATTAAGGAAACAAAAAAATCAAAAGATACTGATGCGGTATGTACTACAAATTTTTAAAAGGCTACACAGGAGGAAACTTTTGCATCTCCCTTTTGAAATATTCGCAGCGCCACTGCGTTGCTTTTGTTGTTTTTCTTTGTTCTTACCTTGTGTTGAAGTGATTCCAGAACACACTGACCGAGCAGCAGGGATAAAACAAAGCCCAGTTAAATTGGTGTGTTTCGTCTTTCTTCTAATTATTAATTTTTGTTTTTTTCATTGTTGAAATTAAATAAGAGGAAAAAAAAAGAAATGCAAAGGGTAAGTGAGAGAATTCCCAAGAGACATGAACGGCAAAGGGAGGTTGATTTAAAGTTCGAGTATAATGTAGATAAAAAGATAAATAGAAACGTTGAATGGGGGTTCTGTCGTCTTCCTTTTCTTCTTTTCTTTTTTTTTTTCTTTCTCTTTAGAATTCCTTACACCGCTTCCTTTCGTTATTCATTCACAATCCTACAACGTTTCCTATCGTCGTAATTCAGCAATGGCCCGAAAGCTTAGGACTAACATGAACTCACACATTCACGCAAGCTCCACTCGGACGGACAAGATAGAATAAAAATTCGAGTGAATATAGTCGGAAAGATAGTTTGATAGTGATGGACAAGAATTTAAAAAGAAAAAAGAAAATTAATGGAGCATGTGCGATATAACAAGAGACGTTAATAAGAGTCTTTTTTTTTTGTTGAGAAAAATAGATATTATACAGCGTGCACAATTTCCTTCGAAACCAGTATAAATATTTAATAACGTTACTTTTGCCAGTTCCACAAATATATACCTGTATCTCGGCAGTACACTCTGTATAGTGATACAGTAAATAGTATGGTATATGAAAGTCAGTCTGTGATAAGAATTTGAAGAGAGAGAGAGAGAGAGAGAGAAAGAAAGAGAGACAGAGAGAAAGAGAAACAGAGAGAGAGAGAGAGAGTGCTAGGGCACACGTTCGCGCACACGTACATACAAAACATATGTACAAAACTGTTGGGATGTGAATTGACATGGGTCACAACAACGCATAGAATATCATACCTATCTTTAGTATATATAATATAGTATAGTATAATATAATATGGTATGGACATGTATGGTGTGTTTTATACGATGACGAAGAAAAGCTTGAACCACGTATGGGGTATACGAGTATTTACGTGTCAGTGTAATACGTACTATATACTATAGATATATGGATATATACGAAATATATACGGATATACGTAATAATGACAATGGAGAAATAGATACGTCAGGTACACATGACGTATGTAAGTCTCGTGTACTGGACACGTTGAAAAATATCAACGTCACGCAACATCTAACTGGGACGGACAGGAGTTAACACAATCGTCACCGTTTTCGTAGTACGAGTATATTTCCGTCACGTTAATTAATCAGGACAATAAATCTGTCTGACAAGACTCACCTCTCGTTGAATATCTCCTGCCTTGCGTAATTCTGCAAGCTGCCCTCGTCGATGAGAAACTTCATCCTCTCGAAGAAGGAGGCGGTAATGGCGGGTGGCTGTTTCCTCAGGAGAATGTCTATGGGTTTTGGTGCAGACACGCAGAGCTGACTGCTCCTGCAGATGTGGTTGGAGCAGCACTCTGGATCGGCGCAATCGACGAGACCATCTGCAACGATACGAAATGATCACCATTTTTTTCAATTATTGCTGCTTCCGTCAAAAAACGTCAGACGCAAAGACGCGAAACGTCTCGCGATTTGAATTCCTCACCTTTGTCGTTGTCCCGACCGTCGTCGCAAGTTTGTTCGAGCAGCACGTTGCAGTCCTTGCCGTCCCATCCGTCGTAACAGCGACATTCCCATTGCGCCTCGATATTGACACGGCACTGCCCGTGGCCGGAACACGAATTTGGACAGCCTTCCATCGTGCAGTGCTTCCCATTCCATCCAGTGACGCACAAGCAGGTCCCGTTCTTGCACTGCCCATGCTCGTTGCACCTTGGGTCGCACTGCTTGAGGTTGCACAATTCGCCGGACCATCCAGCCATGCAGTCGCACGCGTTGTCCACGCAGTGGCCGTGAGGACCGCAGTCCAGGTCACAGAGCTCTGCGACAAAAGAGAGAGAGAGGAGCATGTAAGTGCCACGAGGAATAAGCGTTTGAGTATGGAAAGTGGTCCATGCGACGGTTTGGGAAACTGACCTTTAGAGCAATCATCGCCAGACCACATGGGTTCGCACAGACAAGTTTGAGTTTCCAAATCGAAATTTCCATGGCCGCTGCAATCGGGCAGACACTGCAGCGCTTCCTTGTCCATCTGACTGCAATCTGCACCCTTCCAACCCTTCTTGCAGATGCAAGTACCCTCGGCGCAGAATCCGTGTCCGGAGCAAGTGGGATGAGGGCAGTCAACCTCCTCGCAGAATTTACCCTTGTACCCGCGAACGCAATTGCACTTGCCATTGGTGCAATGACCATGTCCATTGCAGTCTGGGACTTCGCACTCGTCGTGACGCAACGAGCACTCCTTTCCCTTCCAGCCGGGATTGCACTGGCACTCGCCGTTTATGTATTCGCCACGCTGACTGCACAGGACGGGACAGACACTTTCCGAGCAGTCATCGCCACCGAAGCCAGGATTGCACTGACAGTGACCCAGGAGGCACTCTCCCTTTCCGCTGCATCCGTTGGGGCAGTTGTGGGTCATGTCTTCGGCGATTATGGCGATGAACGCGACTTCCTGGGGATCGCCGTCGTCGTTGTAGAGCGACAGGAACCAGTGACCGGTTTCCATGTAGTGCGTAACTTCCTTCTTTATCGACGGCTGCAGCGTGAGTAAGAATAGCAACGTTACGAGGAGTTATCGTGTAAAGTGTTCTACTGAATTCGCGGGCGCGAATTCGAAAGTGTGAAAACGGAAGAGTTAAATGAAATTAAAATGCATTCCTAGGACATACAATGGCACTAACATGGGAGGCCCGGGTGGTGCGAGCCTTGAAACCGCTCAGCACCTCCAGGAGGTCATACTGCGTGTGGGTGGGCAGCGCGTTTCTTCTTGCGTAGACGCCGATGCTGGCACCACGGGGTATGTTGTAGTCAAAGCGAACGTATGCGGCTTCCGATTGGTAGAACTGCATGTTCCAGTAGCTGTAGGCCGGGATCTCCTTGCTGAGACGTTGACCGAGGGCGACCTGGGCGAAGGTCGTGCCATCCGGAGGAAATGACCTTGCTGGGAAGGTTCTGGCACCTGAGAGACAAAAAAGGTAATCGTGAGAAAAGGTCCATCCGAAAATAGATATATCGAGATGATAATGAAAAAATGCCATATCATTAATGTTCCCAGCTGAGCTTTAATGCTATGCACGTAGGCAAGCTGCAATTTTTTCTTTCAGTCTTTTTCTTTTTCTCTTAATGCACCCTCTCGCTGTCAATTACTTTTCCAGTTGCACGAACCGGTATTAATTCTACAGTTAATCGGACTACGCGTGCCGCGTGCGGCCAATTAGAAGCGGCACGTCGCAAGTCACGTCAACTGACGTCATGTCAAGGTGGCACAGAGTTATTTCTGGATTCGGCAGTAAACGTGTTACGCTGAAATACAAGCTATGTATTAACGTATCTGATTGATGTAGTCGAGTCAATAAATCAGTTTCATATTCAAGTGACTCCTTTGTGCCAAAAGCCATAAAGAGTTGATCCCTCAAAGTGTAAACTGATAACGAGTCGACTATAGGTATTCAATAGGGTAGTACAGGGTGGGACGTTCGTTTCCTGAAAAGTTGAATTAATAATTTTGACTTTAACGTAATTAAGACTCTCAGGGGGTTGATATAACTAAGCTCAGCAAACGCCGGTGCTTTCACGTCTTGCCGTTGGTTGAGCCACTCGGTCAACGAGTGCAATGTACATAGTCAGTATAAAAGTAAAGAGACAGACAAGAAGAAAGTAGCCATTACCGTGAAGATAGTGCAGCTAGTAAGCAACATCAGCCAAAGTGCAGAAAAGCATTGCGTATGAAAAAAAAGTATTATACTTCATGGCAGCTAATTACATAGAGAGATAAGCGTGACTTAAGATAAAGAAGAATCTACTCAAGAGAAGAACAAGGCCTCACCTTCGAGAATGAGGATAATGGGCTCTGGTGGTACTGGCGTCGTGCCTGAACACCAAAAGCCTTGCTCGCTCGTGGAACTATCCTCGGAGTAGAGAGAAGTGGAAGAGTCAGAAGTAGTAGAAGCGGAAGTAGAATAAGTTCCCATAGAATCCTCAGTATAATTTCCGGAAGACAAGCTATAGTCATCCGAAGAAGTGGTAGCACTGGTATCACTGGTAGCACCGGTAGGGTCGTCGAGCCCCAACAAACCTTGGGAGGTCTCGTTAGAGAAAGCAGGATGGCTGCTGCCACCCTGCGAGATTCTCCCGTTACCCTTGTCACCGTCATCCTCGTCATCCTCACGATTGACGTATAAGACCTCCTCATTGGTGAAGTTCGTGAACGTGTTCTCTAGGTCGTTAGGATCTACGGGCGAGTCATCATCTGAAAAGTTGTCTGTTTCCCCTGACTCCATGCAAGGACAGGAACACTCGCACTCACCACCACCCCAGATCGGTGGTGGTGATGCTGGGGGTTGCGGTGGTGGTGGCAATCCAGTGGGATCCGGATCCACGATAACACTAGGAGGTTCTGACGATGGTGATGATGTTCGTGGTGCTAGTTTTTGCATGGGATTGATGATGTTAATTCCGGGCGGGGTGTTAGGGTCAGCACTGGTTGGTATCGAGACAGAGAGTATGTAAAGGGGTCGTGAACCCTGAATGGAACCGGACGTGTCCTCGGTAGATATAGTCACGTTCAGCAGGAGGTGAGACTGACTGTTTGAATCGGTAGACTTCGGCACCTCCACTATCTGGACTTTCTGAGTTAGTGGTGATTCTTTTGGCTTGTTAGCTGATGGAGCGTTAGACTCGTGTGGCACTTGGGGATCATGCGATGCCTCATGCGGGTTATCGTACTCCTGGGACTCCTCGTCGAAGGGCTCCTCAAATTCACGTAGAAACTCATCGTCGTCATCATCGCGCGTTATCACGTGAACATCTTCCGTTTGCTTGTTCGATGATATTGTCATTGGCATCCTAACCTCGTTACCGAGTGAATACGTTTTTGGATCTTTCGAAGACTCCATAGACTCCTGGAACGTCTTCGTGTTCTTGGCTGCACTGGCATCCTCGTCCAGATGCAACTTGACTATCTCCACTTCATCCAGACCGTAACTGTAGATGGGATAGTCTCTTTGGAGTTCTTCGGATCTATCGGGGATGACGACCTCGTCGTCGCTCGTCATCTCGTGAGACTTCGAGGACGTGTTATCTTCCACCGGCAGTTCTCTGGTCTCTTTTACAACGCCATTGGAATTTTCGATCCTTGATATTTGCAAAGTCCCACCTGCACTCGTGTTTTCTACATTTTTCTCAACTTTCCTTTCAACCTCCTCAAGTTCTCCATTCATTTCGTCAGAATTCCCAACGTCTTCTTCATCTGCTAGTTTTACGACTAAGGGTTGCGCTAGCGGCAAAGCTTCTCTACTGCTTTCTACATTCAAGTCCTCCAGGTCTACTTCTACTGGCTTAACGACATCCACCCTGGACTTACTTACTGGCAAAGTTCGATCGTCCGGAAGCGAGTTCAACACCTTCGTCGAGGAGTTTTCAGACTCCAAGAACTCAACTATCCTTGTACTGGATTCAACAATAGTACTAGCACTGGTACTAGAATCATAATCCTGAGTATTGGACTCTAAAGAGACACTATCATTCAGATCAATACTCAAGGTATGACTATCGGAATCATTCAAAGAGATCTTAGGTCCCTCAGTCTCTATATCCGGTATCTGATCGATGATCCTTGATCCATTACGATCAATCGATAAATCCCCCTCTTTTTTATCTCTAGTCAAATTCTCGTTCTCACCAGTTAACCTACTTTGAGCATCTACATCTTCAGGATCACTTGATCTACCGGAAGTGATCTCTTTCCCACCGGAAGCAAGAGCAGTCAAAGGATCTTTAGAGTCATCGGAAGCAGATGATGCATAGATCGGAGAGGATCCGTCAGTAGTGTCAGTGATCATTGATGAGGACGTTATCGAATGATCAATCAAGAATGAGTTAGTAGGATCTTCGGTACTAGCTGAGATTTCCACATCCACCGGAAGTGATCCATGAGTCGGTTCATCATTACTCCCTTGGTAACCTTCATCATCATGCTCTCCATGCGTACCCTGACCGGGATCTTCATGCAAAACGACTAAACTTTCGGGCCTTACGGACCCGTCCGGTGCCTCTTCGGCATGTGAAGGGTGCAACACTCGAGCATGCTGGTTAACCGTGTCTCTACGATTGCGGCTGTACACACGCTCAAACAAATTATCCTTGTAATTACCTCCTGACGATGACTGTTGTCTAGGTCGACTCGACGTGGACGTCTTGTTTGTTTCTGTACTAGTAGCTTTGGGCTCAGTGTTATCGCCCACCAGGACGGTGCACGCTTTCGTGCCTTGGTAGGACCAGTTTACTATGTTCGAGGCTGTACAAACAAAAAATATTCACGTGTTACGAAGAGGGCAATTAATCTTTTCATTTCTTTCCTCAAGGGGTACGTCCTTTCTTTTTTTGTTATCACTGTTTTTTTTTCTACTACACTACTAATTATCATGTATAGGACTTACCAGCAACATAGGTTAAGGCTGCTGTTAGGCATAGGGATACCATTATAACGACTATAGCTATGAGTTTCCAGCTGCACCAGTCAATTCCTTTACGGAAGTGACATCGGATGCTCTGTCTTCTCATGGGGATCATGGAGGGGGCATGCCCGTAGGGCAACGGTACCCTAGAAACAAAATAAACAAATAATTCAAACAATTTATCAGAGCGAATTACACAAGAATCATAAAGTTTCATTTGCTTACATGCTTTTCATTCTATTTATTTGGATCTCACAAGGATCAGAGGTTACGTATCCGTACTAATTTTCTACTTGGACTATTGGCCAATACTTTTTCAAGGCGTTTCCAAGTATTCGCGCACGATCAGGATCCATAGTGCGTACCCAATGATCCCAAGCACGGAACTGATTTCGTGTTTGCTTTACGAAAGACCATGAAGTTCACGAAAATATTTAATCTAGATACCACGTCATTAGCGCAAGATTGGATTTTTGTTTGCTTTCATTCAGATACTCTGCGTAACTATTGAGAAAAGCCAGAAAGCAGTTTCTGAAAGTCTCTACTGCTCGCGAGAATATTGGTCCAGTGTGTGGATCTGGTCGTGAGAAATCATGCACGATTCAACGTCATCATCCAGCATCCATTTCGCGCTCTTTTATATTTTCTTTTCATCTTTACGTTCATCCAGAATCAAAAGTCTCTCTTGGAACGTAGTTTATGAATTATCCCGGCTGTCCTACAGACTCAAAAAAAAAGTCGCATGGTGCGAAGTTTCGGAATGAAGGCCATAGTTTTCGGGGAAAAATGTTCTAGACTCTATATAACCTTAAACTTTTCTACGGATTCGTAAACTCTGACCAGCTGACTATTTCACTGCAAACATTGACTCATTGTCAGCATGCGCTCAATGGATGATTCATGAGAGAGAGAGAGAGAGAGAGAGACAGAGTGAGCGTCGGGCGTTCATTCACCCCCCGTTAAGTAAGGGTGACCCGTGAAAACGTTTACACGAAGAAAAAACGAGAAAAGCAGATTTCTGCTTTCGGATGAAAGATCACTTTAAACTTCTTACCTGTCCATGTTGTTCTGTAGCTCCACCTTTATTGGACTGTTACCCGTAGACTGGTTCTTATTGTTGTACTCATTCTTCGGTATCTCTGAAAGGAACAAGTGAGAGAAAACATTATTTTACCGCGAGGAAACAGAAAAAGCAACTTCGTGAGAAAGAGACATACCACAATAAAAAAAAAAAAATATTGAAGCGTCGATACAATTCACCTAATTTTTTTTTTACATTTCTTCGTCAATATTTAAAAATTCTAACATATATAACAATGGAAACCTCACGACACTCACAGCAGTAAAACCTAGAGTGACTGATACGGAATATTTCATGTTTATTGGAAAAGTATAACGTTTACTGTCCTACACAATTAAATATGCATATTTCATTGTCAGACATGAAAAATCGTTAAGGGTTGTTTCAGTTTAATTATCCCCTCTCCCACTTTCACCCCCTACATATTCTGCCCCACCGCTCTCTCCGTCCCCTCTCCGCAGTCACGATGAGCTTTTCACTTACTCAATTCGCCTCGAAGAAGGCACCCGAGAGCGCATAGTTATTTACGTGAAGCGTTTTACAGGTATTATCGAGGAGCAACCCTGGTCATCGATCGAGCGAAGGAGGGGCCTTGAAAGGAGCCTGAAGAAGAAGAGTGCAAGTGGGTGGGGACGAGGGGTGCCGATGGGCGCTGGGCAGGTGGTGTGGGGGTAAATTAATTATGACAGAGGTGAAATATAAGTTTCGGGCCGGTCCCCTTTCTTTGTTGCGTGGCCCGTCTAATATTCCCGGCATGCAAGAAGACGCCGAGGCCATCAGCCGCGTCCATTTGCTTCTGCTCAGACCAAAAAGCCCTAGGAGCTCAAACAACCACGTGGAGACACCCCGTGTTGAATCGATAACCTTATGATTCACTGACGACGGGAAACAGCGAAGTGTCAATTTCATTTTAGACTTTTTTTAATAACCACTGAAAACATGGCCTCCGTGACTAATCCTGCGTATAACATACGAAGGTACAGCGGCTCGCGAACGTTGGCGAAGGTTGAGTAAAGAAGAAGGCACCTGGAATACACGGTCTATCGTAAGGTTCAGGGGCATTTGCAAAAGGTTGACCGTAATTATCGAGTTTACGAAGGGTTGCTCGATACCTTGGTACGATCTTATGACGGACTAGGAATTGCGTCAGGCTATACCTGAAAGTAAGTTCAGTTTGCACACATCAGCTCGCAACCCGTGGGAAGTCTCCAATATCCCAGGGTTCACTAATTGCAGGTGGTATCGACATATCTGTGATTATGGCTTTTAGGCAGATATTATAGCCCAACCCCATTCTTCGACCCTACTCGCTTGCTCGGTGCCCTTCGACCCCGTCTCACCCTCTTGCCTACCTTCCTCTGCTGAAGCATTTTGTATAGGTATTCCTTAGCTACATATATATATTTACTAAACTATCAAGCGGATTCGAATTACACGAACGGTTTCGGGTGAACTCCTAATTGACGGTCAGTAGTCCTTTTATTGACCGATCGACACATCGCCGCCATTAGTCCCGTAAAAACTTCTCCTTTGATCATCTATCAAAGTAATCTTCGATTTGACTTATCGATACGATATGCAATATCCAGAATCATTGGAAGATACAACCGTGTGCGCGAATGGAGCTTGGAAGTCAACAAAAATTAAAAAAGAGAAAAAAATAGAAAGATCCTTCTCCTACAACTTTTTACAGCGATCCTTAAGGGAGGGTGGATCTGTTTACGAAACCCAAGAGATGTTTACTACGTTCTCACGCGCACGAGAGTAACTGTCAAAAAATGGAGGGAGAGAGAGAGAGAGAGAGAGGAAAAGAGTCGATAGCCGATATCCCCATAAATCACGTGAAAGGAATCCGCAGGCACTCAAGATTCTTTTGTGACGGCAATATAAGTGCCCAGTGGTCGTGGCAGGACATGGTCTGGAGCTTTGTCTAAAATTCTCATCCCTGGCGCCATCCAACGAAGGGATGGACCATAAATAAAACACTCGAGCCATCTCTCTGGGATTTAAACTGTTCATAGACCGATTGCATATACCGGGTGTTCGAGTAGTAAAAGTACAAAGAGGTATACACAGAGGAATCCATAGAAGCGACACGCGAAAGAAAGATGGTTAACTTTGGTAGAAGAAAAAAAAAATGCTTTCATTTTACGGAGGAAACTCGAGTAACGTCGGGCGAGAGAAATTCCAGAAGTCCTGAAGGACCCGGAGTGACTAAATTGACTGACAGGAGGAATGAGATGTCTGGCGGTTCTCAGAAAGTATTTTCAAACGTGGACATCCGACTAATATCTTAATACTGTTTATCCTCATCCCTTGAGAGGTCCAACCCTCCGAGAGCGTAAGAGAGATAAGATAGACCCAAAGGGCCTTGGATAGATTTACAGCGCTGCTGTGGGTCCCATGGAAAAATATTCACAGAGACATTTCCAAGGCCGGATTTCGTCAAGAGATAAGATAACGAGTCCTGTGCAGTTCTTGGCAACAACCCTTATCGACCACCCTCTTAGCTTTCCATGTCAATGGTGATTAAGGTATTCCGGATACTCTGTCAACTGACACACCTAACCACTACCCCTTAAGAATTGTCGCCTGTACACGTCATCAATAGTGTATTCAATCATTTTCAAGCTTTACTCACTTGGTATGTTGATGAAGTTACCAGACGGCGTGCGCACCAAACAAGATGGCACAAAATCAGGATCGCGCTCGTGATCGGATGCTGCGTGACTTCCTGGCAATCTTCCGTTCAGTCGGCTCATTGTCGGATTACGGGGTGGCACATCGGGTGGGCCCCGTGGTGCCGCGTTGTCCAACAAACAGCCTGGAAAAAAAAAAAGAAAAAAAAAGGCTTAGAAAAAGTCGAGCATTACTTTATTCAGCAGTGTAATGAAATGGGTCCAAGGCCGCCAAGACGAAATTCTATAGAGAACGCTGAGATCTAAAATAGATAGGCGAGATTAGGTAATCCCGGCAGGTGTTGGACTTTCCAGAGAAAGGGTTGCGGGACTTAATCTGTCGATTTAGTACGGTACCGACGGGGAGGCTATACGTGCGCGCGTAGTCTCGGTATCTTGGATCAAACGAGCCGAATCATCCCTTAAAACGTGGGACTGCAGCACGTCAGAGAAGATGGGGCACTCGAGATATCGGTCTCAGGGCAGTGAAGGCCCGTTGCGCAGGGGATGCACGCGACACAAATAAATAGCTGCAACGAGTCGCGAGACCTGAATTATACTTGGGCAAATTTCTTAGGGGTTCTTCGTCCCCTTGCTCCAAGGCCATACCGAGAGCATTGTATCGAGAGATTTGAGCAGCTTAGGGACACCGTAAGAAATTCGAGCCGCGTCATCTGCATCGAATGCCATTCAAGCACCTCCTCTCTTTTGGGAACCAGAACGATTCCGAGGCCCTTCAGGCAATAAAGGGCGCAAGAAGGGCGCAGAATAGGGGGATGAAAAAAAAGCAGAAGACGAAAGAGAAAAGAAGATAAAACTTTGATGCGTGACGAGGAATCTTGTCTCTTTCCTTTAATTCCCTTTAACGCAACTCTCACCTATTCCCCATGTAAAACACTACCCACGTACCGTCAGGCTCGACTCAGTAGTTAAAACCATCGAACAATTTCTGTACAATTTTCGTGCTCGACGTGTTAAATTCCGACAGCCGGTTGCCTTTAGTAAAGCTAATTCAAAAATGACGAATCGTTCAGCCAGAATAGGAGCCACACACTTGAGTAGTCGTTATTCTTATTAATAGAAGGTCCTGCGACATAAACGAGCAGGGACCTCTGAAGGAAGGGTCCTATTCTTCCAGAGAGTCTTCCTAGGATAGCACGAGTGGGAGAGGACTAGGACATCCCCTCATCGTCCTGCCGTCCAGGTAGAGAATTCATAAGGACAAAACGTGCTCCCATCCCTCTTCGATGAATCCAGAGGAGCAAGAGAGAGAGAGAGAGAGAGTGACGAAAGATACAAAGCTCGAGCGCGTTCGAGTACTCGTAGCGACAAAGGGGATATATATATGTACGTTCCTTCTGAATCGAATTATAGTCGGCTCGTTGATCTCGAACGGGAGCTAGGAGTAACCTGGAGAAACCTTGAACGAATCCTCGGCGAGTTTGTTGTCGCACCGGGCCGAGTAATGGATGTGCGCCCATTGAAATGGACGTCAAAACGCGTAACATAATATCCAGGGTCCTTACGCGCAAGAGCCCATGCCTAATGGAATTTATTAGAGGAACCCCGTGCAACAAGGGTGGCGCGTTCAGGTACCTATACCCAGTGGTGTAGTGTGCCTATACTATTCAACTCTTAGGACTTGCGGCTAAGGTAGATAGGTAGGTAGGTAGGTAGGTAGGTAGGTAGGTAGGTAGGTAACCTTCTTCAGTAGGAATCAAGAGGACTTTGAAGACGCACGGGGCTGCCAAAGGCTAAACGGTAAACAACACTTTACTCAACGATCTTTTAGCTTTTACTCTGCTGAGAGAAAAGACTGTATTTATTGATCAGATTCTCTCGACCAGTTTTACAGAAGCACCTTGTGTGCCTTTGCTGCCTTGGCGCAAGGTACCTGGCCTACGTGTTACATGCGAGTGCCTTTAGGATTTTTTCTCGTTATGAAATTTCGTCACTCAAGTACCACGTCGACGAAGACCACTTGAGAGAGTGAGAGGGAATGTGAGAGAGAGGGGGGAGAGAGAGAGAGAGAGAGAGAGGGACCCTCGGCATCAGAAGAAAATCTTGAAAAATGAAGGGCTGCCTTGTGCTGAGGGTAAAAGACGTTTAATTGGGAGTTCCGAGGGAGTGGGTGACCTCCTTTCCCTTCTTTCCCTCCTTTCGCCTCATTGCCGGTACAAGCTCGGAAAAGCATCCCTGACCCCGTGGCAGGCTTGCGCACTTGCAAATCTTCTGTACGACCCCGACACACCCCCTCTGAATACACGACGGCATTACTCGCACAAGCGCGAGTTAGAGGTCTTCCCTGGGAGCGTCATCGCAGTATAACGTTAGTTGCTACTCGAAATATAAAAGAGAAACGGAATAAAAAAAGAAGGAAACTGTCGAGCGAGCCCGAGTGGGCTCCAGGTATCTTTTTTCGCCAAACAAGATATCAAAGGATAGAAACGAGAGTATCATTAGTCCCGTATTAGAATTTCTGAGCGAGTATCCAGCAGTGACGTGAATTAAGGGACGTTTCTCATTGGCAAATCCACGGGGCGCATTGATCCTCAAGAAAGCAACGGCTCTTCGGAGAAAAGTGCCTGCCTCCCTTCGCCGTTACGAGAAAGTGCTAAATCTTTGAACATCCCCGGCACGCGTGCACGCGCACAGTACTTGCGCAGAGCCTAAGGAACACGAGATAATGACACGCTACAGCCGGGACGTCGTAACTTTCGGCGAGGTGCGCAGCGCTGCATGCAGGAAACACGTGAGAGATATGGCGACGGGCCACGCGCGGCACCGCGCGGCACCGCGCATCACAGCCAAAGGAAAGAAGGTAAAAGAAGACCGGTTTTGCTTGCTGGAGTTCCGAGATGAGAATTCGTAATGCGCCTGCTGGATCGCTGGGATCGGGGAGGGATAGAGAGAAGAAGGTGCTAAGCAAAGAGGAAGAAAGGAAGAGGGAAGGAGTCGAAGCACCTACCATGTGCGTCGATGCAGGTTGACATAGGCATGCGTGTGGGCAGACACGTGTCTTGACATGAGACATTGGCGCATTGCATTGCAGTAACGTTATCTCGAGTGATCTACAGGATCCAGGGAGTTACAAAGTGAATCCGGGTAACGAGACTTGATCGCCGTGGACGCGCGTGCATGTCATATGGGGAAGCCCTGCAGTCGGGACGTCCTGCTGGCGCTCGAAAGACGTGCGCGTTCCTAATTAGCCGCGGCCGAAGGGGCGGATCAATAATCTCGAGGCGAAGCGCAACAAAGGAATCGTGAGAGATCGTGCTGGCGTGGAGAGGAGAAGCTAAAAGAGAGAAGGAGAGAGTGAGAGGTGTGACGTGAACGAAGGAGAGACGTTTTGTGAGCGAAGAATAAATCCCAAAGCCGAGCTTGCTCGAGAAGGTTGGGATCGATTGCTCCCTGCAGGAGGTTTCCTCTCTTTGGCTGCGGATCGCCGGCCTTGCTAAAGGGCTGAGAGATCGTAGGGTAACAGGAGAGGGAGAATGTGCGTTTGGCAGGACTTGGATATTGGATGGAAGGATAGGAAAGAAGTCGCGAGGTTGGAGTCAGGTTAGAGTAATGTAGGTTAGAGTCAACGTCCTGAAGTTCCACGTTGCTTTCCCGAAAACCCCTGGAATTTAGGGGTAGGTACTTGTGTGTTCCTATAGATTCTGCCAGACGCTGAGCTCGGTACTGACGTACCGAGGGCTACGGTTGTCCAACCCCTAAACCCCTACAGCAGGGTCTTTGCTAGCAATTAGATCGCGACTTGGTACCGCGAGGGGGGAAGAGGGTGGACGAGGGGGAGAGGACCATCTCAGCCAATCAATAATCACACATCGTGAGAAGCACGTGCTGCTAATGACAAGTAAAGCTACCTTGGAGTCAAAGTGAGCTGGATCATTTTTCTCTGGATTGAGACGAATGTTGTTTTGCATTTGAATTTTAAACGCAACTGCACTCGATATAATTACACACCCTGTAACCAGCAGTCTGGGTTGCGCGTTCTCCATATTGAGCATATCCCACCCCTAGGAGTAGCTCGAGAGTACACGTAGAAATACGGCGCACCTACTACCCTCGATTTGAATTGGGTTTCGAACCGAGCCCCAAAAAGTTGTCCGCTTCCAAGATCGTTAAGCCGCATTCACAGGGCACGGTCGAATTCCCACTCTACCCGAAAGCCCTATGAAACTCGAAAGCAGTTAAAGTGAATAACTTTAACGCGACGCAGTGCGCACCGCGAGGGAGACGAGCGAGGGGAGGCCGGCGCGCTGGAGGGTGGGAGCCCGGGAGAGAGGGTGCTTCAAATCGTGTACGGGGGTTGCGCACGCTTGGTGGTTAGTAACCTCCGCGAATTCTCTTCTAGGTATAGTTGGACACGCGATGTTTTATTATGTAAATTTAATATCGACTGTGACGTCACGGGTACCAGAAGGTAGCACGCGAGAGGGATGCGTTTTGGCTCTCGCGTGTTTCATAGGTATTTACGTAATACGTGTGTGCTTCCTCTGTGGCTCAGGGTGGTTGGGTGCGGGGCTGGGTGGTTCGCGAGACGCAAGGGGTTGGGCGCCCTCGCCGTTGCAACAGGGTGGATTTTAACTTCGCGAGAAGAAAACGAAAAAAAAGGGGGGGTACGTGACTGGGAGGGGGGAGGTGATAAAGCTGCGACATTTGGAAATGTCAGCCTGATAAATACGCCACGATAATGGCCCCAAGCCCGTTTCTTTCGCGGGGATGAAAACAGGGCGGGGAAAACTCCTGTGGAAATTCCACGGCCAAGACGGCCGACCACTCTCCCCCATTATCCTCCCCCTCTGCCGCGGGTGTACGTGTCACACGCTGAGAAATGTCGATAAACAATTTTTGCGAAATGGAGATAAAATAATAAAAATTGATTCGGGTCGCACGGGGATTTAAAAAATAAGGGATGATTGGATTTTTGAAAAACTCACCCCTTCCGCCTCCGTAACAATACGTGTACTCGTTGTAATCCATACTTGGTCTCTTGAGCAATCCTTCGCCAGGGATTAGATCCAGCAATGCCGTAGGATCACACATCTAACCGAGAATTTTTTTTTTTTCTTCTTTTAGGGGTTTTAACACTATTATCTCAATTTTATCATGATTTCAATTATCCGCGTATAGCGGGATT